AATGAAATGCGTTATCAATTAAAATACAATTCTAAAATTTTGGGGCTATCATAGAAACGGTGACGCAGGCAAAGCAACAATACAATTTGTAAACTCATTATAACATTTAAACTGAATATATCTCAAAAGGTAAAATCTATCAAAGGACTGCTCTTCAAGCCGTTCGGTTAGCTCAAAAGGTAGAGCGTTGGACTGTGAATCGGGTTCCCGAACGGCGCAGATTAGTTTTGTTTTGATTGATCATGAAATCCATTTTACGGTCATTCGCATTGTACCTCTGCTCTTGCATGTTCCTTGCGAACGTGAAGGCAACCAGTACTGGTAAACTGCTTGACAGCCTTCCAGGAACAATACGGTGGCTGAACTGTGCTCTAATAAATTTAGTGTGGCTTACTGCAGTGATCCGGAGTTAAAACTACCAACACCACCACCAGGACTTCTCTTCCTCTTGATATTTCCATGTTTATTTTACATCATCACGATATATATCAGAAGAAAAGACAGGCCGAATATAGTTCGTTGATTATAAATAACTGTCTATCTCATTAATAAAGATCAGGTAGACAAAACATGTTCACATCTTTATTGTTTTTTCTCATAGAATTACTTGCTATAAAAGGAATAGTCTCGTGACATTATTTTCAGTGCAAGTTTGGCTTCTTAGACTGGAAAATATTTTTATAAAAATGGTACTTAACTGTCTGAAAAAGTACAGAAAGTATATCAAATACTATATATTAAATTTTGTTTCTATAATCAGAAAATTTTCTTTCTATAACCAGAAGATTTTAATATAAATTAAAATGTACTTATCAGATGTACAAAATAACACTTTAAAATTAAACACGTGTTAAAAACCACCTGCGAATAAATATCAAAATGTTGAGAAAGGTCACCCCTTGACCACTTTTCATTAATCAGATGAACTAGAAATTAATAGTGTGACCTTGACCTTTAAGGTAGGAACGTGGTTCTTGGACGCGGCGACACGTCGTTTTGATGTGGTAGACATTTGTGCCAAGTTCTTCCAAATTCTTCAATGTATGACAAAGTTACAGTCCGGACACGAATGAAGTTGGGACGCACAGACAGACGGACGGACGGCGCGATTTTAATATGCCTCCCTTCGAGGGCATAATACAATTTCTTTTTTTCTAGACTGATGATAAAATATTCCGTAACAGCTAATGTTATTAAACGGAATTTCCTCTGAACATTGTTCAGATGATGTATGAAGAATATTTTTCATTTGTCTGTGCAAATATTTCTCATTTTAACAATGTCTCTATGGAAATTAGAGCCATTAATACTGTTTCATCAGTCCAAGTATGTCTCTGCGATAAATAATGAGAACTCAATTTAAAATAGAAAGAAATGATAACACGTTTAACATTTAAAAGTTTTTTTTACAAAAATCATATCAAGTAATTTAAGAAAGAAAAAAACTATTGCTCAAAAGCAAGCAAAGTTGAAATTAATGAGTTAAAAGAATTGTTTTCGTTATGTTGTTAAAAATAAGCAATAAATCTCGTTATATTCTATAAAAGAGAGAATATAACAACTAATGGTAGTGATTTAATAATTCAATATCTAATACATGTATAACCTTATCTACTTACAATTATGTATTGGGAGGTTGTTTGTGCTCTTTGTTAGTCCATATGGCATTAAAATATGATTATCACATACTGAATTGGAAAATCAATACATTACATATTTCATATCGTTTTATAATAAACTGTCTAACTAGTCGGACAAAGGAAAATAACACCACCACCATCATCGTCATCATCATCAAATGCTTTCCTTGGTTATGCTAATATTTCATGGAGTCTTTATTAATGTAAACTGTACTTGTTAGTACATAAATTGATGGTTTACATCTTATTGAAAACATGTTATACGAGTCTAGAACAAAACTATTTATCCTGACTTCAAATCAAAATTCCTAATATCATTTTAGACAAAAAAAATCACTTTTAAAAACGATTTTAGATCAAAATTAGCTGAAACTATTTTATACAATGTTTTTGTTCCATCAATTCTCGAAAACACTGTAGTTTATCAGCAAAAGAGATGTTATGAAACATAGTGCAACAGACAGGTATCTTATTCTTGAATACACCTCTTTTGAAAAGGATTTTATCATAGAGAAAATGGCTTGGATTTTGAATGTCTGTGCATAGTCATTATATTTTTTTCGTTTAATAATGAGCATTGCATGCTGTTTGTTTAGTTTAATACTTGTACGAGGGGTGTTCAAATATGAATGCATCCGGGTCAATTTCAAACAGTGCTTAACTAACAGTGCCAAAACAATTATCTTAATCCTTCAAAATACTAACAACCTGTGATATACAAAGTTTTAGTTTTTTAATCCAATTTTAAAGTGCGTTGCATAATCTTAACGAGGTATACTGTTCAGACACTGGAAAATAGCCGAACCGAGATTTTTTGTTTTTGATTTTTTCTTCCAGCAAGGTGTATTTTTAGCCTTGGAAATAGGAAAAAGTCACTAGGGGTAAGATCTGGCGAAAGAGGAGGGCGAGGAAGCTCGACAACTTTTTCCTGTTTCAGATATTCTCGTTCAATGGCCGCTTTGTGTGACGATAATTCTAACACAACACCACGGAGACCAGTTGCTGGTCGACGGTTTTTTAAATATTTCTTTTATTTATGAAGGACCTTGCCTTTGTAAAACTTAGCATTAACAGATTTACCCTCTGGTACAACAATTTCAATAGAAGGACCTTGATTGGTAATGAAAATTACAAACATGATCTTTTTGACGTTCATGGTGCGTTTTGTCATTTTAGGTCTTTAGCTCGACTTGATGAGTCTATTTATGACAAATAATAAAAGTGCAACATCTCACATGCTCCTAAGCACCGGTTTAAGTAGTAGACACTGTCTTTGAACCAATTATCAAATAGAAAAATACAGAATCCCCAAAGAAAGCCCAACACGACAAAATTGAAAATGTTGCAGGCTCGGTTTGATTGAGCCTGTTCATGGACGGTACTGGAAAGTGCAGTACTAGCACCGGCTTAAGCAGAATTCAACATTTAAACATGAACTAGTAAAATTTTGAATTTAGAAACATCCGCAGATGTGTTCATATGGCTGTTATCATGGAACCTTCAATGTGACACTTCCGTGCCATTCCATGAAAAGCGGCGTATGGTCCCCAAGTAATAAAAAGCGTGTGCCCTAAACGAGAAAACAATGGGCGGAACTAAATAAAATGGAATATTGAAAGGGGACCAGAGGTTATGAAGCCTGCATATCACAGATAAGACGTCAAAAGACAAATTTAAAAAGCAGGCAACATATCCTAAGGGTGATTCAACATTATTCAAGTAGGAATATTGGAACCACCCAACTAGAAAATGTCAAAAGTTGAAACTAAAAATACCACAAGCACAACAATAATGTCGTGCTGAACGATCTTCGAGGATCGAAAATATAACATCATTGATTAAATGTACGGGGAGACTTTTTACAGCCGCCACACGGCACAAATAACACGGATGTGACCATAAAATAGAAAAATACAGAATCCCTAAAGAAAGCCCAACACGACAAAATTGAAAATGTTGCAGGCTCGGTTTGATTGAGCCTGTTCATGGACGGTACTGGAAAGTGCAAGTTACCGTCCACGCCCCCTAGCACCGGCTTAAGCAGAATTCAACATTCAAACATAAACTAGTAAAATTTTGAATTTAGAAACATCCGCAGATGTGTTCATATGGCGGTTATCATGGAACCTTCATTGTGACACTTCCGTGCCATTCCAAGTTGCAGATGCTCTGTCATCAACCATTAAATTAAACCTGAGCAGAAGTATACATTTCACTATTTTTTTTGTAAATTATTCAAACATATATTGTTTTTTTTTCATCTTCTACATGTTCTACAGACTATTAAAATAATCAGAATTTTAAATTTAAGTTTTTTTTGTAGCGAAACTTAACGCTACAGAAAAAATTAAAAGCAGGTGTTTTTGAACTACTTGAACGAACTACTTTCTGAGTTTAATCATAAAAGAATATTATATCTTTTCAGTACGTTAGAAGTACCGCATTTCATGTAGTTGTAAAATTAGAAAAAATGACAAAACAAAATTGAGAATAACTAAAAGAAATAAAACTACATTATTCCATTGAACTACTTGAACGAGCTTCTTTCTGAGTTTCAACATAAAATGTATTTAAACCTTCACCAAAACGTTAAAGTTAAAATTAAAAAAAAAAAAAAAAAAAAAAAAAAAAAACAGTCTCGCATAATGCAAGTTGTTATATTTGAAAAAAAAAACCAGAATCACTCAAATAAAAAGAAATAGAAGATAAAAATGTATTTCGATTGAAGATAAAACGAACGGCATTCAAGTTGTCTTTTATTTGTCGTTTATTAAAGTATAGGTATGCAAAAAAAAAGATTATGTTTGTGTGTTGAAAAATTTCCACCTAGATTCCAAACTTAAATTATTATATATTATTATATTTAAAGACCATTTTAAAGAATTTTAAAATGTATGTAGAAAGTCACGTACATGCATTAAATTATCATAAAAATAATAAATTTTCATTTTATAACATATTTGATTTTGTGGATTTTACGTCAGGTCCATTTACCAAACATGACATATGACATAACAAAAGCAGCATGTCTCAAGATTCATGCTAATTTTCATGAAAAATTAGAAAAATCTTTTTAAAAGTAAAATGTTGTGAACTGAACAAAAGAAATGATTTAAACACTGCAAACGGCACTTTCAATCCTCGTTAATTACAATAATATCTTAAAAGCTTTTTTCTTGTGTTCTGTTAAAGTTTCACCAAAATAATAATCAGCCATTTAATTGAACCATTTTTATCTGCTGTTGCATTTTGGCAGATAGTAGAGATGTAGTGATTTAGTTTTTTGTATGGAAGTAAAAATAAAACTTCGTTTATATTCGGCTTCTTTTATTACAAATTAAATTAATATTACAAGCTAATTTCTTTAGGTAACAAACATTTAACATACTCGTAAACTATAATTCAAACGATATTAAATTCAAGTGTACCCTAAATAAATCAGTAAATTATCGCTTCTGAGGAATAATGTGTGCCTTAAATGTAAATAATTTTCCAATTTGTAAATGAATATCGAAATCTTTGTATAAATATTGCTACAAGAAAATAGTTTATCTCTTTATTAAGATATTTCAACATTTTGTACAATAGGCAAATTAAATTGTAGGTAAATAGAATAAAATGATACGACACAAAATGATATTTGTTATTTTAAGTAGCAGTGAATGCAGATTTTTGCACCATTTAGCAATGAGACCGCGAATGCGACATATTCGTTTTCTAGGACAAATTTTTGTTTTCATAGAGATTTGTTTTTGGATGTATTGTGCTTAAAAATTTATACAATGCATTTTAACTACAGGCTCCAGATATAAGGCTTTGTCACTTTGAAAGAAGAAAACTATCTTATTTTAATAAAGTCTTAAACATCCAGTTTACTTTTTAAAATAAAAAAATAATCAGCTGAAAAATGTTGAGTAACTGGAACAGTGTAATTTATCTGAACCTTTGTTAAATCTGAATTCGAAAAGATTCATTTGTTACTTTAATCTTTTACGCGACTGTTAAGAATGAAAACTTTTATTAACTAATGCAGAAATAAGTCTACAAATGAGCACATTTGCAGCATTGTTTTTTTTGCGTATCTTCAAAGATTCAATATATATGTCCAAAGCAGTGTCGGGCTTATTTTCTTGTTCACAGCACTGGCCAATCAAATTATATGCAGTCTCCTCGTGCCCTAAGTATAATTCTTTAGTAATAGCCGTCGCAAAATTTGAAAGTGCGGTTTTTTGTTTTTCAGCCATTTTTAGTCGCCCATACGTTTTGTACTGTAAGAAGTACATAAAAGGAAGAGAGTCTACTATCGCCAAATCCATCCACAATGTATCTGTTCCTTTCCTATACAGTTTATCATTAGCTGTGGATCTATATATTTCATACCTTAATTCATTCGGAATACAATTTTTTTCGCTAGGCAAGAACTTTACACAGAATGATGTTATATCTTTGATCAGTTCTTCATTCCCTGTCAAACATTTTGCTCTAAAGCCTGTCATTTCAAACTTTATTTCATCCTTCTCAGAACAGGAACACACGGTTTTTATATTTTTAAAGTTTTTATGATATTTCTGTTCAATGTGTTCGAGTAAACACCGTGCATTATACATATCTCCCGAGCAGTATAAAGCCGAAGCAAACTTCAATTTTCCCGACGACACGTCTGAAGACGAACCGATCACAAATAAGATTGATGTAAATGAAGATATATATTCCATGCGTTCAATTTCGTTTGATGCAATAGCAGATGCTAACGATGAATACATTAATGGCGCGATAAGTTTGTACACTGATCTATGCAAAGATTTTTCCGAACTGTTGATTGCGATTTTATTCAATTTTGTCAACTGATTTTGTGCAACCTGTACAGAATTATGGACTAATTGTAAATGAAGTAAGTGGCAAATATTTAGCTGGACTGCAATATGACTTATGAGCGATCCTGAAATGATCTTGGACACAGTTTCCGTTTGTTGAATACCAGGAGAAATCATTTTAGAATTTAGATCCATACTCATCTTTTCATTAAGCCTCTTATTTAGCTGATCAAGCGAGATTTCGAGAAGAAATTGTCCATTACTGTTTGTGAAATATTGTAACATCATAAGAGCACCTTTATAAAAAGTAGGGTCCTTCCCTCTTATAAGATTATGTCCAGGAATAAAAAAGTGTGAACAATTTTGTTTTCTGATGCAAGTTTCTAAATATAAAAGGCATCTTTGCAAACAATCAAACAATTTGTTTTCTGTCCACTCACAGGATTTAGTATTTTCAATACAATAGAATAGAACAGTTTTTAACACGTAACTGGAAAGTTTAACCATCGAACAAGTATGTTCTGTGACTGTTTTGAATATCATTTTCATCAAAACATAACATCTCATTTGTGTGACATTTAAACTGAACATTAGACATCTCTCAGCCAGACAAGTTGATATTCTCCATTCTAGGTCCTTGTACTGACTGTTTTTGCTGCTCACTGGTACAATGATACACCCAGTTGCCTCACACTCTCTTCTTATATCCTCTGTTGGCCAATCACCTTTACCTTTATCCTTCGTCCATCGTCGAGCTTCTCTCGGCCAATATTTGCAATGCCATGCTATGACGTTATCTTCGTCATTGTAAGCAACCTTTCCTTGAAAAGAATGGGCTGGACCTTTCTTTCGATTGTATTTAAATTTAACCTCTTCATCAAAACATGTGTTTTTCAAAAGCCATTTATTTTTGCCATATGGATGAAAGTATTTTTTATCTATTAAGCATACAAAATTTACTTTCGGTTTTTCACATTGTAAATAACAATGACCAGGAGCGGTGGTTTCATCCTGAACCAATAGAACATTTTCTGCTCTGGGCTTTGCTTCTTTACAGTCTAGAATAATGTTCAAATAATGATATCCGAAAAGAGTATCAATATCGGAGTCAAGGTCTACTGTTGTTGATCCTTCTGATTGACTTCCTAAGTTGTAAGTGGTTATATTCTTGCCTTGTATACGACGAGTAATTGTATCTAGAGTTTCCATCAACATATATGTTCTTCTTCTTTTAAGAACTATCTCTTTTCGTATTCCTATGTTACCCATGACTTCCGATAGTTTCAATGAAAGTGTAGGATCGTCATCCAGAAATTTAGACATCCTGCATAAAAAACAATAAAAAAAACCAAATGTTAATTATATGTTATCAATTCAGTTTTGGACATAAATTTTTAACTTCGGAAAAAGTTTCCTCACCATCACTAGGCAATTACAATACAAACAACAACAGGTAGTATTTAGATACCAAATGCGCCAATATTTTGCTTAAAGTAGTATACAAATTTCCTCTCTAACTTTCTTTGCTAAAATGTATGATTACGGTATTTCAAATACAAAGGAGCTTTTATTGATTTTGAAGACATTTGTTGAATTTGCTTGAATTGAATTTTGGTTGGTTTAATCAATCTGATTTCGTTAATGCTTTTAAGTTATTTATCGGTTTAGTGACTTCTATTTGGTAATTATGTAATATTTGGTTGATGATTTATATATTTCATTGAGTGGTAACGGAACGCAACAAAATTCATTAAATTATCGCAATTCTGCAATTTAACTTTTCACCCTTCCGCGATTTTCACAAAACTGAAATTCTGATAATTATTAAATTCCAATACGAAATAAAGCATTGTATGAACAATACATATCTGCATTATTTTACCCAGGTATGTATACAGAATTGTGTAACCAAATTGCAACTGAAAATATTAACACTTCGTCTACAACAAGCAAAATAACCAGTTATTCTGACATCCATATAGAAATCTACATCGTACACTTAAAGATTTCCACAGAACACAATTTAATATTAGCTGTTAATGTTCCTTATCATTAATCACCAATAAGTGGCGTAGTTTCTTTAGGCCGCAGTTTATTATTCTTTTTAAATTATTAAATGTGAAAAAATGTCTACGTGTAACTGTTAATCATTTGAAAAGATGCAGTGTACAGATCGCCAAAATTCATCTCTGACGAGAAAGGGCAAAATATTCTTGGTATAGTAAGACATTAACACCCCTCCCTCTCCTCCCTCCTCGAAATTATATTACATATGAATTCAAAACAAGCTACGCCCCAGTTGTATAAAAAAGGATAGTATTATTCCTCAGCTGATAACTATGTAACATCGTTAAATAATTTAACTTTTTAAAACACTTTTTAATTAAGTTTCAATAGTTAAATGCGCCAAATAACCATGTTGAGTAGATTTTCTACAGTTATAACAGTTAAGATAATGTTAGATATTGACCTTTAAATTCTTTAAACCTTGTTAACTGTTAACAATAAATACATTGTGATGCACTGATGCGCATCTATGAAATAATAATCTACTTAAGCAAGAAAAAAATGAATATGTTACCTGTGTGTTGACTATGTTATTCCATTATATATCCTCTAATATCGCTTTAGAATAGCTGTTTTTACACGTCAGATAAGAATGGGATATAGTGCAATATGGCTGAATTACATGTAAACAAACAATTCAACTGGTTACTATTATCCACGAAATCACTGTGAGTATACAGTACTCGAACTTTATTTACCGTGCGTGCTCTGATATTACGTGCGATTAATATTGTTATTATTGTTTTAATATGAATTCATTAAAACAACTTACTTAACCTTTAGCCTGCTGGCTGCAACAAAACACTTATATAAATAAAGAATTGTCATATTAAAGTCCCATTATGCCTGAGAAATTCTTTTATTTGTTTTTTTTTTCCGAAAGCTTTTTAAATATGGAGTATTTTTATTGTATCCAAAACGTCACTCATTGGCAAATTATCTGAACTATTTTTTCATATGTTGTTTTTTCAAAAGCTTTTTAAATTGGTGTACTTTTATAATATCTTAAACGTAACTCATTGGCAAATAACCTGAACTATTTATTTGTTTTGTTGCTTTTTGCCAATTAGTATAGTTATAGTTAATGAGTATTTTATATGCATATCAAAATACTACTTTGTTTACAATATTATACTTTTATGACAAATTATTTCACAGTTAGCTATTCTTTCTCCAGGAAACAAGCATTTAACACCCTTAAACACCATTATTATAACATTATAACATTCATGTTTGTCCTTACTAAAGAAGTAAATATGTATTTGTTTTTGAGGCAATATATGCCTTTAATATGCAAATATTCTTTGATTTTTCTTGTCCAGATTATGTTCTTCATGTTATGATAAACATAACTAAATGTATACAGCATCAACAAGTTTTTCTTAAAGCTGTACTTTGATAAAACATAATTTTATCTATCATCACTTTACTAACATTTAAAGAAAACTTTTATATTGCCTCGTAAATCTAAATTTTCTCTTGTATACACAAGAAAGCTATCAAATGTAATATCATGAATATGTCATAAAAACAGATAAATGTCACAAAAAGGGGGAATGTTAAAGTATTGTATATACTTACTGTGACGTTTTCTGTGTTTAGAGATTATAGTCACCGCTAAATTTAAATAAGTAAATAAGACATAACCAGAAACTTTTAACATTATTATACATCAAACCAGTCTTGTTTCCTTGTTGCTTTGTCTGTTTTGTCATATTGTACTGTCTTATTGTACAGCAGGCAAGAAATGAACGGATTAGAAATAATAAGATGAATCAATTATGTTTTCCGATTTTTTTCGTTTCTTTTATTCTTTTTCTTCAAAATCGGAACTAAAAAAATATTCTGAAGTGAAAAAGTACTAAAAGAATTCTTCGAAATGCGTCCGTTTGAAAATTAAATGCATCCACTCATAGTGAATTAAACTAAATAAATATCAGATAGTATATTTTCCAGAATTCTTTATTACCTTTAATTCGTTTGCTGTTTCACTCCCAATCGTAAAACATCGTCTTTTTCGGTACATATCGGATAACTTAAAACGTAGAACATGAATACACACCATTAAAACCTTCTTCAGTGCGTGTGTTTTTGAAGTTAAAATTAAAACAAAAACAAATAAAACAAAACAAAAAAAACAACAAAAAAACAGTGTCGCATTTCTGCAAGTTATTATATTGAAAAATCAGAATGACTAACAAAAACAAAAAGAAAAGATTAAAATGTTTCACGCTTGAAGATAAAATGAACGGCGTTAATAGTGTCTTGCGTCTTGTCAAATATAACAAGATCAACCTAGATTCCGAACTTTGTGATGTTTGTAGTTGCTTTTGAGCTATTATAAAAGGTATGTAGAATATCACGTACATACATTACATTATGATAAATACATTGTGATAATGAGAACCTTAAATCGTTTCCTTTTGTTGTTTTCTGGCAATTTGTACAGTTATTGTTGTTAGGATATGATATTCTATGGTAGTCAAAATACCATTTTGGGTTCAGGCATATAACCCACGCTCTAAAACCATTAATTAAACGTTACAGATAATAGTCAAGCTTGCCCTTCAATAGAAGTAAAAAGTATTGGTTTCTGAAACAAAATGTGCCTTTGAATATATAAAGTATACTGGTTTTATATATTAGCATGGGATATAAACTTGAATATATGAATCTAAAATTTCTGTTAACGTGTTTCTTTTCGTTAAGGAAACGTCAAATGCTAAGGATATTCCAGTAAGAAGGTGTAATGAAACCCCTTATTTATCAATCTACGTGAAAATGTCATGATATAACTACCATACTATGTGTCAGCAACGTGTATTACTTGAAATATACAGAAAATGTTATTGAAGAAACAGACATGATAGTTAAAATTTTGCTGTAAGCTTTTTAATATATAGTATTGTAGCATGGTATATCATGCATGTATATTTTGTTCAATTACTTGTAAATGACAACTGTGTGAATGATATTTAACACATGTATTTAATCAAATCAATAAAATTATGTTTGTTGAGGCTTCTGTATTTTCAAATTGTAAATTGCAATGTAAAAAAATATGAATTAACATAACTATAATTTTATTGATTTGATTAAATACATGAAAAGTAACTAAAAAATATGAAGGGTAGAATTATTATTCTTGTGCACTGCACACCTCCTGAGTGAGATATATCCACCCATGAAGTATCATGTTGATATTTCAAAAGTTTTTGAGTTATGCTCTGGACAAAAAATAAGTTTGGAAAATAACAAAGGGCAATAACTGGAAAATTATGCAGGGTAGTGTTATCATTTCTGTGCACTGCACTCCTCCTCAATATGATCTATCCACCTATGAAGTTTCAAGTTGATACCTCAAACACTTTTTGAGAAACGCTCCGGACAAAAATGTCGGACGGAAGGGCGGACAGATGGACGGACGTTCTAACGGGACAGTAATAATGTGGCTACTCTATTGTTCTCTCTATTGTTCTTTTTAGCCGCACAAAAGAAAATAGCAACATAAAAGCATTACGGAATTGATTACAAGCTGGAAACAATGGCAACTAGGCTTGTATCATACTGTCGATTTTAGAGCTGTCATTGATTCAGTGCAAAGCATATCAACGATATATCGATATCAAGTGACTAAAATCAACGATACACCGATATATCGATAATATCCTATACTCAATTGTCTGTCATTCACTTTCATACCTGTTTCAATGATTTCAGTCAAAAACATGTTCTGTACAGTGTCTTGTCCACTGCATGATTTTTTCCAGACAATGTTTTTGTCACCATTGCTATGAAATAATTCCACTATATAACAAAAGCATAACATTAGATATAAATAACTGCTTCTGCATATATTTTGGGTGAATTGTATAATTTCTAGACATTTAATATATAAGTCAAAAGTGTCGATTTTTTAGAATGTGTATCGATTATTGATTGACAAAAAAATATCAACGATACATCGATATTGTCGATATCGATGACAGCTCTAGTCGATTTTGTAATTCTCTCAAAGTTTACATGGATAAAAGCCAGACTGGCTTTAGTTAGCTAATATGTAACAACTCGCTCCTCATTAATAAAGATAAAGAACATTACCATTCATTTCCGCAATATTACATAGACTACTTTGCCATTAAAAGCTTCATTCGGTAAAATCATCATAACCTTTTGTTCTTACTTTCGATCGATCATAAAAGAAATATATTCTTGCAAATCATTGCTACTGAAATTAAATCAAGATTTGATTTCAATAGCAATAATTTGCAAGAATATAATTTTATTCATGACCGAAAGTAATAAGTTGATATATTTGAAAATATTCAGTATTTACATCAAAAGGTCAAGCATAATTACTGTTTACATTCTTACCTCCAGATTAAGTAAATCAAACTCACAATTGGTTTCTTAAAACTATTTTTATTAGCAATCAAACGTATTTAAGCTCCAAAAAGTTTTCGGCCCGATTTACTTCCTCCGGTAGTCAGAGAACCCAACTAATGGTATTACTTTTCAATACAATCGCCCTCTACATCAATGCACTTTGCCCGCCTGTGCTCCAACTTGTTTAACCCTTCAAAAAAGAGCTCCCTATTTTGTTTCTCAAAAAACTCATTGGCCGCCTCCATTCATTGCTTATAAAACGTCTACCACGAAGCTTGGTTTTCAGTTTCGGAAACAGGTAGAAGTCAGAGGGGGCCAAGTCCGGAAAAAATGGGGGATGGGGAAAAATTTCAAAGCCGCAGTCAGTTGCAGCAGCCATCGCAACTTGGGATGTGTAAGCTGGCGCATTATGGTGCAGGAGCAGAACGCTTTGAGTCAATTTGCCCCCCCCCCTCTTTACGCGCGATTTCTTGACGCATACGTCTAAAGTCGTCTGCATAGTACGTACCTTAAAACTGTACTAGTTAGTGTATAAAATGATGGTTTATACTTGAAACAGTTTATTTTACTGAAAACATGTTGCACAAGTCTAGAATAAAACGGTTAATGTATCTCTAGAATAAAATGGTTTATGCATAACTTCAAATCACATTCCCTATGAACCATTCTGAAATGATGTTAGATAAAAATTGGCCGCGGCAAGTCCCTTGTACTCCAGGTCTGTGCAAATCGACCGCCGAAGGCTTCAGATTAATTGTAAGGATGCACCAACACGAGCTGCAACCTCCGCACTTGTGCACCCAGCTTCAAGCATGCCCAAGGCCCTCTCACGTAAATGTTCGGGTATTCTTGGCATTGACATTTCAATACAAAACTTCAATTAAAAACGTTTTCGATTTTTTTCTACAGCTTTAGGACTATAGCAATATTTTGGTAAAGACAAATATGCACCACGTGGAGCGGATACCTTACGCGCACGCGAAACTCGATTTTTACGTTGAATACACATATCGGGCTTTTATACGGGGATTAGCTGACCGATTTTGAAACAAAACGAGTTTTACAAGCTACTACATGTATATAAGTGTGTACATCTAAGTGGTACCCTTGAACGACTGGCACATACTTTGCGAAAGTTTCTTTTTTGGTTCAGTATATACAGTCCAACCCCGGTTATTCGTCAACCCTTTATTAGAATACCCGGCATTATCCGAAGTAGGTCGGTGGTCCCGTTTTTATCTCTATAAAAA